CAAGAATAAAAGAGTAACAATAACACCAAGATTTTTACGTGGAAAACCCTTCTGAATAAGGGGGAAAAAACCACAACTNAATAATAATGTAGCACCGAGATACGGTAATTAACAAGAATAAAAGAGTAACAATAACACCAAGATTTTTACGTGGAAAACCCTTCTGAATAAGGGGGAAAAAACCACAACTCCGAGAGGAGTAACTGATATCACTATAGTAAGAATTTTACACTTTGTAGGCCCGAGTAAAATACTACAAAGACCACTACAACACTCAAAAGAAATAACCCTCTTTTGATATTTCACCTCACTACAATATCACTCACTCTCTATTTTCTTCACAGACTATTTTCTTATACCCTGTCTGTGAAACCTCACTCTTTCTTTCTAGCTCTCAGATATATTTTCTTCTGAGATTGTGATGATAAAAATGAGAGCCGAAGCTCTCATTTTATAGGCAGAATACAGTCTACCTCATTTGACAGCTTCATCTCTGCAGCGTGCCATTTTTGACAGAAAACAAAAACGTGGGCTGCTGCTATTACCAACTTTGACAAAAGTGAGGAAGGAAGAAAATTTCTTCCTTGAAATGTGGGCTAGACCCCACAGTATAGTCGCAAGACCTGAACTCAAAGGAATGAACGGGATGCACAAGAATATGTGGTTTAATTCAATACAACTTTTTGCCATAGAGTAACATATATGTATACAGAAAGATGGAGGGAGTACATATTTCAAGATTTTTACTTTGACTCATTCTTGAGAGCAACATTTAAAAAATCCAATCTTTACAAATAATGTCCAAACACAACACAACAGAAACATATATGTATACAGAAAGATGCAACATATTAGTACAAGATTTTATGCATAAAGATCAATACTTTGACTTGTTTTTGTGAGAATTTTGAAATAATGAAATAGGGTGGAGAGAGAATAGTACTTTGAACTTGAACTTAATTGTTTGAAGCTTGAAACTTGTAGAGAAATTTGTAGCGTTTGATCTACGAGCTCTCTCTTGCTTTTTGTTATAACTTCTGGTGTTTTCTGGGTTATGAACACCCTTATTTATAGTTGTGGGAGGAAAGAGTTATAATAAAAACAAACTTTTTCCTACCAATCAAATTGAAGTGTGACAAGACCACATTTGATTAGCCAGAACATGTCACTTGCACATGTGGCGTGGTTTCATTGGTCTTTTAATGTGACTTGGCATGCCTTATCATTTTGACATGTGGCATGATCCTATTGGCTCTTCCGTTTGACTTGGCGCGCCACGTCATTTCACGCGTGGCACCAAACTGGGCCTCTAGGAAGATGATATCTTGGGTCTAATGAAGTGTGCTCATCATTTGTAGCCCAATTATATTGGACATATATAATTAATCTAATTATATTAGCTCATAATATTTATTTGGACTAGTACATTTAAAATAGTCTAAATTATTTATTGAATTTAAATTCAATAAATTTTACATGCCTACATTATTATTTTTAGTTCAAATTTTCAGGATAAAATAAGTACTGATGAATCCCTAAATAGTAGCCCTAAGAATGGCCATTTGTGTACTTCCTCGGTTACGACTCCAAAATTGAAAATCGCACTAACTAGTCAGTTTTCGGACAGGTTCAAAAAATAGCCAGTGTTTGCAAACCCTCATTGAAAAATAACCATTGTTTTGTTGAAACACAGAAAGTTCTTCCAGCATATTATGTTGGAACTCCAACATACAGAAAGTTCTAGCATAATATGTTGGATTATGGAGCTCCTGAAATTGAAAAAAAAAATGCATTACCATACTGTTATAGGTTCTGTGACTATCAACTTTATAGGCTTCGAATGAGTATGAATATAACACTTTTTCAGACCTCTGTTCTCAAGATTTGGCTTTGTCCAGCTTAAGGGGTAAGACAGTGTTTGCCAATAGAGAGGCGTGAAGTTGGAGCAGAATTGGTATAGTACAAGTTAGAGTATATTATCTTAGAGCTGCAATGGTTGACTGTAAATTTTCCTCTATGATTAACCAAGTAAATTGTGAAACTTATGGGCTCATAAAAAATTATTTGCAAAAATGTAAAAGGCAAAGGTTCAAAAACATGCAACCAGCAAATTTCAAGTGCTTGACCAAATGTTATAAGGAAAAAGTACCAATACATTTAACTGCCCCATAATTCATACTGCACATTTTCTTTCCTATTCATGTTTATCAAACTATTTCTAAATAAAATGATTAACATAGCAAGAACGTATGTGCAGTTAAATGTTATGCCTAAGAAGGAATTGACTAACCAGGTGTAGACTACACTTTGAAAACAGCATAAGCAGCACATACCTTTTATCATTGAAAATCAAAATACTGCATAAAAACAACCACAAACAAGATATACAAGAAGTAACTTCATAAATCATATGAAGAAATAGTACCTTTTGGTCATGCCACAAAGAACTTAGAGAAATACAACTGACAGAATCCAAATAAAGGAACCCCTAGATGGAAAAAAAATCATATGAAAAATAAAAGTAGATTTAACTAATGAAATTAGAAGCTGACACACAAGTATTGTTTACTGACAATAAAAGTATAGAAATCTTTAGATGTAAAAGTAAAACATTTTTCATTTATATATTTCTATCACTAAATCCTAGTTCAGTAAAATGTAAGATTCTACTCTGACTCATTTGCACCTCATCCATATAACTAAAGACATTGTTGTTTATAGACCATCACTTGCACCTTGCTAATTTTTCATTCTTACTCTTTAAAGCATATCATCAGATACATAAAGAACACAACAAAGAACGTGTAAGTGGTTAGCAATTTTTCGTTTCCTTCTTTAAAGCATAGTGACAAAAGCAGAGAGAACATATTAAATCCCCTGAAATCTTTAGTAATTGGCTATGAGTTATGGGTTTACCTATTAAATCAGGAAAATCACCCTACTAAAAGTAACTTAATTGCAGCAGTTCGGTCATGGTCATTATATATCTTTGATAACTTTTCCAGTTAAATCATCTCGAAGTTGAACCTTGTCCAAAACTTCTCCAGTTGAATCTTTGTCTACTTTTCCTTCTGCCATAGTGAGACACCACAATTCTAGCATAACGTGATAAATAACTACATATTATAAAGATAAACTGCAAACAAGTAAAATGATCAAGAAAGCATCCATACGAAGAAATTTTACCTTCAGCAGAGAAAGATATGGAAGCACAAAAAAGCAGCTTGTTCTGCCCCATCTTCGGAAGCCCTTTCTCTGGGATTAGTACGGGAAACAAAATCAAACAAACAAAGAATCCAACACTTTGGATTAGAGCATGTTTCATTTCGATAAATACAGTTTCTCAGTGTAAAGAGCACAATATTTACAAGGAAAAATACTGCAAAGTAGGGTAGTTGAGAAGTTGAATTTAACATTACAATACAAAGGCTTGCACAGATATACCTAGTTCCTATATCTGGTAGTGCGTAAAAAAGGCCTATGAAGTATATGTTAAGTATTGTATTAGTATAGGAATCAGATAATAGGTAAAAGAAAGTAATATACACAATAATCATGAAATCATAAATACTGTCGCTGCTAACTTTTTTGTTGTAGCTACAAGGCAAAATATAAGGCCGACCTTTGCAGAAAAACAGTGGGTAGGGGAGAGAATATTGAATCGTTACGAAAGAATATTAAAAGTTACAAGTATGCATTTAATGCACCATACAAATCCAAAAACACCAAACAAGTTCTATCGAATTTGTATATATAAGCTACTAATCACTGAGCTCGAAAGTAAGAAGTCATGTACAAATCTTTCAAACAATTAAGAACCAGCTCACTTTTTTCATGTAAACTCAGAATAACAAAATGGAATAAATCAGCAAAATAAAATACATCAGTAGCAGACTAAAATTGTAGCTTAAATCCAACAAAGTAACCTTCATCCACTCTAAATCCCCAATTTATAACTCTTGGTCAAAATACAAAAAACCTTCAAACATAAACAAACATGGAGAATAGTTAGATAGTAGAAGGAAATTCCAATTTCTTTCAAGGTATTTTTGAATTTCACAAAATTAACATAAAATTACAATTTAATTTCGAGCAACAAATAGACAAGAACCCAAAAATAAAACAATCACATTTACATATAATGAAAAAAGTATGTCAATTGAGCAACCACTGAACTGCAAAAACCCAAGCAAAACCCCAATTTTGTGTTACAATGAAGAAGCAGAAACCCAAGGAATTCTTAGCGAAGATCAGCGGTGACCGTGAACCATGTGATTTACAATTTAGCAACTAACGAAGTACAAAAATCCAAGTCAAACTCCAATTCTTTCTTACAGCGAAGAAAAAGGTTATGGAATTCTGAGCGAAGAGAGACAAAAGTAGAGCAAATTCAATTCTGACCTTTGAAATTACCTATTTCATTCTTCTCTGAAAGATACAAATCAGAAGGCAGACAAAGAAAAACAAAGAAGATGAACAGATAGAGATAGAAAGTGACATATCTGTCATACTGAAATACTGTAGACCTCTAAGCACAGGATGAAAACCAGCGTAGACAAACAATAGCAGCTAGAGGAAGCAAAGATTTCATGGAGGTGTTCAGAGAGATGGGAACTTTGAGATAGTGTTATGACTGATAATATGAAGTGGTCAGATGTTACATGGAAGTCCACGCGTTGGGTCAGCAACATACAAACCCAAGCGCCCATCATAATCTAGGCGACTACTTTGTTGTTGTCAGTGTTAGAGCGCCTACAGGAAATTAAAGACTAAAGCTAAAATGACCAGAATACCCTTTTATAGGCAAGCACACATGACGACCTCGACATGCTTCTCTCGCTCTTCTATATCTACCAGTAGGATAAGCCCAGGCTTCGCCCGGGCCCAACACTAACAATGTTATACTTTTAGTTATATGTTATGTTACTTTGTCAACATAAAGGTGTTGATAGTAAATTTTTCTTTTTGGAAGTAAATTTGTTAGTACTAAGCTAAGCTTGCATATTATTTTGTATAGGTATGTGGCTATGGTTTTACTGTTGGATTAGAGTTATGATGAAAAGAGTTAGTTTGTATAGCTAATGTAAATAGTTGATGCAAACCTGCATAGTTAATCACAGAAAATGTGGAAGGATTGTAGTGCAGTAAACAACATCACCAAAATCTGCCTTGGTAAGAGTCAGTTTGCCAAGCTATTTATACAAAATGTGAAACATTGTACTGCAGGAAACAGTTCATGAAAATCTACTATTTACACAAAATGTGGAAGAATGTACTGCAGTAAACAACACCACCAAAATCTGCCTTCAATGTAAGTATTACAACAGCGGTGGGCTAGCAAAAAAACATTGGAGCGACCTTTGTTGCATTTCAAATCTGATGAGGCACCTGTATGAACAAAAAGTGAGAGTTAAATGTAAAATAGTAGTTGAGAAAATGTACATAAATTTTGTTTTGAATTGTTAAAAAATTCCAAAATTCTGCTGGATTGTGAGAACTATAGGCTTTACAGTATAAGCAAAATCCATAAGGTTACTTTTTGATAATGTTGTATTCTGACCCGGGCCCGGGCCTTAGTGGGTCTAACGGGTCGGGCCTCGCGGTCCCGGGCTTCGTGGTCCTGGGCTCTGGCGGTCCCGGGCCTGGCGGTCCCGGTCTTCGTGGGCTCAATGGGTGGAACCGGCCCGTGACGGGACTAAGCCCACATGGTCTTGTGCTTAACGGGCCGGGCTCGTGGGCTTCGCGGGCCTAGCGGG